TATTGTCCACATCTTTGTCGCCATATTTATTACAACGTTTCCGCCCTTCAGTATCTGTCAATATTTCTGAGATGAGGTATTATGTACACTATTTACATTATTCAGACTATTGTTCTCATCTTTGTCGCCATATTTATTACAACGTTTCGGCCTTTCAGTATCTGTCAATATTTCTTATGAATGATGAATTATATTCAATCCAACACCCCCCATTTCTACAGACACCATCTTGTTAGCTTCTCTATCGCTATTTATAATGATTTTCCAAGCGTAGCTCAGATTTGGCACAAGGCTGAAAAATATGGGGCACCCAGTGAGGATCGAACTCACTATTCAATCGTAATTGTTCTAGCGAGACAAGCTTGCTAGCCATTACACCACGTCGAAGTACGCCTATCGCTATTTATATGAAAAGTGTTCAGACTAATTACATTCCTTGGTCCCACTAGTTCTAATAGTCACGGCTAAGACCCGACATGTCACACACATACTAGTGAACTAGCCTCACTACGTAGGTATTTTTAACAGAAAATCAACTCAAGCAGCTTTCAACAAATCGCTGCTTTATGGAAGCGACTCTCTGGGAATGTTTCTCCAATCACTGTTGAAATCTAAAGCTAACCCACATATCCCTATAAACTGCGCCTCTTACTCTATAACCCTCTAACTCGAGTGGTTCTTGGGCCTTGTACAAGGTAAACATTGTTATAAAAAAGAAACATAATTTTTTATTCATGTTATACAAGTCATTCATTATTAACATTTCGCTTTCAGGTTATAACGATAACCTACATCCGATGTCTTGGGTAAGACGATAAACTACATCCGACAGCAAGTCCTCTGATCTCAAGGTTTTCAGGAGTGTGGAACCACTTCTTAATTGCTAGTGTTCCCAGGTCCACCTTGACACGGGGTGGTAGCACATGTTAGGAGGGCTTAGCTATGAGCAAATAGTTAATCCAAAACACGCTCGCGTCCTGGGTAACACGATACATTACAACCGGTGTCTTGGGTAAGACGATAAACTATATCCGGCAGCAGAGCCTCTGATCAGTAGGTTTTGAGGAGCATGGAACCAGCTTTTAATTGCTGGTGTTCTGAGGTCCCCATTGACCCAGGTTGATAGCACCTGTTAGAGTCCCAGCTATGAGCAAACTCCAAAATAAGGTCAAAACACTATGAATGTGTAAAAATCGGTTGTAATACCAGCAATACATTTTTATAAAAAAATTATTATCATATTATAGTTTTGAAAAAATGATAATCGACATTTAAAAGAATTTCAAACTGAGATTTTCATTTTTTTTATAAAATGAAAAAAAAAATTTTCCATCTATCAATTTTGCTGACTCAAAAAAAAAACAAGATTTTTAACGAAAATTTTAGACGTGCTAGGAACGATTAAAAAATGTAAAAAAAATACCCCAAAATACTTTGATATTCCCTCTTAATAATAACATAAACATTTAGACGATAAAATTTTGTTTTCGTCAAGTTTGGCGTTTTTTTCATCATGCTATGCTCGTTTTTTTAGCGATCTCGTGTACCTAAATAACCCATTGACGTTATTATGCCGTAAAACAAAAGAAATCAAACTAATATATACTGAGATAGATAGATAGATAGATAGATAGATAGATAGATAGATAGATAGATAGATAAAAAAAATTACCATCTAGCCGGCATTAAATAACCCATTGAGGTTGATATGGCGTAAAACAAAAGAAAAGATCCAATATATACTGAGATAGATGGATAAAAAATATTATCAGCAAGAAAAATCTTGTCGACATTAAATGACACTTTGACGTTGATATACTGTAAAACAAACTAAACCAAACCAAATTACCATTTCGACTATATCTTGCATCTTTATGGGGCTCTCAAATCTTGTAATTTATTAACAAAATCAAAGAAAAGCAATACAGATGGAATCACTCAAAAACCAAAATGAATCACTCAAAAAACAAATGAATAGCCCAAAAGACAAAATGAATCCCTCAAAAAACAAAATGAATAACTCAAAAAACAAAATGAATAACTTAAAAAAAAAATGAATAACCCAAAAAACAGAATGAATAACTCAAAAAACAAAATAAATAAATCAAAAAACAAAATGAATCACTCAAAAAACAAAAGGAATCACTCCAAAGACAACTTGCTCATTCACTTGCTTAAATTCCACGTTGATTCTGATTCCGCAAAACTGGGTTGGGTGTGAAAAAGTATTTCTTGTTAATATTCTTTTTTCATTCGGTTTTTCCAGTTACGAGTCCTTTTTTAAAGCTGATCGTTTTGTGTTCATTTTGTTTAGTTCTTTTTCGTAACAGATTTAATGTTTAGTATAGAGCTTAGAAAAAATTCGCAAGTGAGATAGGCAAGAAGTAAGGCATTTAGCAACATCAGCAAGTAGCAAAGGCACTCCTTTAAAGGCAAGGAAGGGCAAAAATATTTTTAAATCAAGTGATAGCGATTGCTGTATGAGTTGTACGATTTTTTTGAATCAAGCACGGGCAACGCCGGGTCATGCTGCTAGTTATGAACTAAACATGTGTGCAACCACGAAGTAGTTTTAGAGAAAATGGTAACAATAAGGAAACTTATATTTACCAGCATAAAGAGAGGGTTGAAATTTCTAGGTCACATAAGGTGGAAAGAGAGCCTGGAAATGTTAATATTCAAAGGATCAGTTGAAGTCAAGAGAGACAAATGAAAACAACTTATGATCTCCTTAGAGATTTTGAGTAAATGTGCGGCGGGACCATGTTTAAAGAAATAACAAAAAGAAAAAATTCTTAAGAGCTACAAAAGACAGAAAGTTGTGGAGAGCCATGATTACCTAAGTCCTGAAGGAACACATTTACGTTTATGCTTTTGTTTAAAAACAACACACACACACACAATATATATATATATATATATATATATATATATATATATATAAATATATATATATATATAAAATAAAAAAAATTAAAATCTTCAGACACACTGGGTTGTATATTAATATTCTTTCGTTTTTTAATATTATTTTTCATTTTGATTCCTATATATATATATATATATAATTCATGAATTTGTAAATTAATTGCACCTTTTATTGAAATTAAAATAACTGATCCAAATGCAACTTTGGATCATAAGTGCGACATTACTGTAATTATTGAACAATATAGTTCATGCCACTTTGACAGAAAATTTACCAGTAAAAAAATTATTTATCACCATATTTGTACAAGAACGCACAATTGTAAAATTTAAAATCAAACTCAGCGTTGCTATTGCACGCTTTCAAAACAATAACTCATTTCTAATAGCATTTTTCGGATACAACAATATATATTTTCGTTGTCCTCTTATTACTGAGAGTAAAAACAAGAACAACATCTATTCCATACCTAAAGATGTCTGTAGGAACAGACGAAAGCTTGTAGTAAAATAAGAACTAATGCAACAGAAATTTATAAAGGATCTTTATACAAGGATCTTTTCATTCATAACAGGTTCGGGGTTTTTGTATATTATTTGAATTGTTCGCGACGATGGATTTCTCGCCAATTAAATCATTAACCTTTGTATTTGTTTTTGTATGAATAATTCATAAATATATATATATATATATATATATATATATATATATATATATATATATATTTATATATATAAAATTTTAAAATTTCAAGGCAAGAAGAAGTCACTAGTACCCAAGGAGTTACAGAGAGTAAGAGTAAAGAGGGGTGTTTGAGGAAAGGATCAGGATCAAGGTATCAGAAGATGTCGATTGACATTACTTTGGAATATTTGAAGATTATCAGGGAAGTAAGTAGAAGGAAGGGAGTTCCACTGTCGGGAAGAGCAAGAGAAGAAGTGCTGGAGCAGGAGAGGTGGTTACATTTAACTGTTTCAACAGTGAAAGGGCGGGACTGAGATGCCAACCTAGTAGCACGCTTAAATTCATGCAGTTCGGGTACCAGTGAAAGTAGAGCAGTTACCATGAAAATATTTGTAGAAAAGACAGAGGGAAGTCTAGGAGAAAGTGATTGTAGACGAGATGCCAGATCACGACCTATCACATTGCATATCCGTCTTTGGATTTTGTTGAGGACCTCGTGATGAAAAGCGGAGGCACCGGACCATATATGGCATTAGTATTCAATGCAAGTACGAATGGTAGATTTGAAAGATAGACACAGGCGAGAAAAACCTCCTGGCGCGACCCAGAGAACCAACTTTCTTTGCGGTAGATGAAGCTATTGATTCCATGTAGTTGTTCCACCTCTGGCGGAAAGCATGAGACCGAGCATGCGCAGAGAGACGCTCTCGTGGAGTCGGGCGCGGCACAGATATACTTTTTGGATAATCTATGAAGCATACACCCTTCTACATATGTATTGTTCTCTTCTAAAACTGCAAACATTTGATTGGTTGATTGATTTGTTTTTTTACGGTTTATCAACTTTTGCAGGTTATTTAAAACCGGGAAAGTTTGTTTTTTTTTAAAAAAAAAAAAAAACAGTTTAAGAATTTTTGGTGATAATACTAACCAGGGTCGACATTGCTTAACCTCAGTGAACGTATGAACACCGGTGTTTCAAAAACAGCTGTTTATTCTTGCCTGAATAATCGTAACTGATAAATAGCATAACTAAAATGGCTCCATGCATAAGTGTTTAAATCTTAGTTTGCACCCCCCTCCCACAAAAAAAGAGAAAGATAAAATTAATGCAATGGACAAGCAAATTCGAAATTCTTCCACTGCTTCCTCCCCCATAACTCAGCCACTCAAAGTAATAATGGCAGAGCCATTACAAATCGTCCGGTTTTGCAAAGAGGATACGAGAATCTAGCCTCAAACCAAATAGGCAATCCGTCACCATGGCGACTGTATCCATAAGAATTTAAAATGCAGGAACATTTCCCATGATGCACAAGTTTTTTTTTGTTTTGTTTTTTATTTATTTATTCATTTTTCGTTCTTTTTATTACTTTCCCTTCATTTTATGTTCGTTGTTTTTATTTTTTTCTCTCTCTCTCTCTCTCTCTTTAGATTTACCTCTCCCTTTACTATTTATATCCCACTTTCTCTCTATGCCCTTCTCTCTTTGAATCTCTCTCTCTTTATCATTTGTCAAGGAATCGGTTTTTCTCTATATTTGTTTCTCCCCTTTTCGCTATCCGATTTTCTATCTCTTTCGCTGTCTATTGATAACCATTTCTTTCCCTATTTTTCTTCTCCGATCTATTTTCTGTCTTTTTCTTCCTCTTCATCGCTCTAGTTTTCTCTCTATTTCTTTCTCATTCTTTCTCCCTGTGTTTGTGTGTGTGTCTCTCTCTATGTCAATATTTTCTGTCTTTCTCTCATTATTCGTTTCATTTTATATGCCATTTTTTTCTTTCTTTCGCTTCTTCTCTTTCAAACTTTTCTCTCTTGATTTATATTCCTCTATTTATTTTCCCATTTTCTATATGTCTTTCCCTCTTTTTGCTTCTCTCTCTTTCTCCTTATCTTTCTTTCTCGATCTGTCACTTATTTCTATATTTCCACTTTTCTCTTCCAATTTCTCTTTTTCTCTCTTTACTTTCCCGTTTTATCTTTATTTTCATTTGTATCCATTTCTATCTCTCTCATTCTCTTTCTTTATCGCTTTCTTTTCCTCCTCTAATTTTATTTCTCTCTCCCTCTCTTTTTCTTTATATTTATATATCCGCCTTTTTCTTTCGGTTTATCTTCATGCCTATCTTCTCTATCTTTCTCACTTTGTATTCCTCTCTAATCTATCTTTTGTTCGTATTTCTTTATCTCTCTTTCTATTCTCTCATTTTTTCTCTCTCCCTTTCTAGTTATATCCAATTCGTTCTATATTTTTCGCTTTCTTTATTTATCTGTAGTTTTCCTTTTTCTTTCAATGTTTTTTCTCTCATTTTGTTCACTTTTTAATTCTCTTTCTTTTTTGTTCTTTGTCTCCCTTCTTCTCTCTCTCATTTCTCTCAATTTTATCCCTCAATTTCTATTTTTCACTGTTTTTTCTTTGTTTATCTCTTTTTTAAATTTTTTATCTTTGTTTATCTCTCTAATTTCCTCTTTATTTATCTCTCTCTCTTTCTCTCTCTCTCTCTCTCTTTAAAGAAATTCAACATTCGTTTCTTTTTGTCAAAAAAAAATTTTTTTTTTTCATTTTTATATCTCTTCTTTTCTTTCTCTCGCTTTCTCCATTAGAATTGATATTCCCTCCTTTTTTATCTCTCTAGTTTTCGCTCTTTCTCTCTCTCACACACACACACACTCTCTCTCTCTCTCTCTCTCTCTCAGTCTCTCCCTCTCTTTATTTCAAACTTTTCTCCCCCTTTAATTTTTGTTTACTTTTTAAATCTCTTTATTCTTCATCTCTCTCTCTCTTCCTCTTCTTCATTATCGTTCTCCTTTACCTCTCTGTTGTCATTTTTCTCTAATTTTCTCTCTCTCTCACACACAATCTCTCTCTCTCTCTCTCTCTCCCCTTCCCTCTCCCTACATTGTCAACCTTTGCATTTGAAAGCAAAAAAAAAAATTACAGTAATGGAAATTATATTACTACTTGCGCCCGTGAACAACACATACTTTTGTATTATTACGTACACCCCTGAAGATGATCTCGAAAGAAGCTCGAAACTACTTGGGAAATATTAAATAAAAACATGTTCATAGTTATAGCACATTTCTCATGTCATTGCAATACACGGAAGGTTATCCGTGAGTATGAATGGATTTTATTAAAAATTAGAAGACATAATACCTGTAATTTATTCAATCAAACATGAATAATATATTATATATATATATATATATATATATATATATATATATATATATATATATATATATATATATATATAGTTTATGAAAAACTAGGTCATCCGTATGGGTAAACCCAAAGGAGGATAAAAAACCCAGAGACCTCAATGTAAATCCAGAGCAAATAATTTAAATAAAAACAGACCACTTTAAGGTTCCATGTAATAAATTATTTCACCACAGCCCTTTTAAACGACTGCGGATCATCAGACTTTACTTCCAAAACAAAACGAAAAAATTTGTTTGGAACCTTAAAGTGGTCTGTCTTTAATTAAATTATATATATATATATATATATATATATATATATATATATATATATATATATATATATATATATTACGTTTACTGCGACCTTGTTGAAATAATAAGCTTTATCTTGTGCCCGATGAGTTGGCTAACCAACGAAAAACATAAGTCACTACACCAAACGTAGATATATGTATATTTAGTAATATATATCTCTCAGCTATGTCTAACCACATCGAGCATTATTATGTCTACACCTCTTGGCAAAATTTGGTAATCATTTATTTGCTTACCTGTGTATGCACGCCAGCACGTGCGTATACGGTTGCTAGTATCTAGTTACTTCATTTACCTAACTCTCTCTCTCTCTCTCTATATATATATATATATATATATATATATATATATATATATATCTTATGTTTATTTTTCTTTTACCTTCCTATCTCCTGAGTTTTTAATCCCGTCAACAAGTGGCGCAAGTCCTAAAATTCCCCAAATCCAAAAGTAGATCACCTGACCACAAAAAGTGGCAAACTTAAGTGGTACCGAAGAGATATGTTAATCTTGAGGTGCAAACCTAATTACCAACATCGAAATTTTGGCAAACCCCTCAATTATATATTTTTAAAGGGTCATAAATATTTTTGTTTTTTGGGGTTTTTTTTTCTTTTGTTCTTTAGTCTGGCTATGAATGCCAAACTGTCGATTTATGTGAGAATTGTCTCACAAAGGCCAAATATGTTATTTTTCTATATTAAACTCATAAATATTCTATTTTAGTTTAGTCGGGCTGCTCGGAAGTAATACCTAACTGGCGTAATGTGCTTGATCCTCTTTGGCTGCCCAATAAATACTGGCCCAGTGCCAGACTAGTATCAACTATCTACGTGGGTACATCAATAAGTACGTAGTCTAAGGATAAAGGAAAAGTACATATTTTATACAACAGATATTTATTTTTCAGCATAGTCTTCTACTCTGTCATTGCACGTAATCAAACACGTCTCACATAAACAGATTGAATAATATGCATCAACATTTCAGACGCAATTTCAGTTAATAAATATAGTGATGTAAACTAAAAGGAGCCCATCGAGAATCGATGATGGCCCATATAAGCACAACTAGAGGCCTTGCGCAGTTTGGTATGGTTCCAATGCTTTGCGCAGAACCAGAGGAAACCTCATTTTCTACTCCGGCAATAAGAAATGTGTGACGTCTGCGAGATAATATCAGATATTAAAAAGCAGACACTCAAATTCGAGTCTAATATGATAGCTAATCCCTATTGCAGACGCCTTCTAAGGCGTATTTGTGCTTTTTTAACAACCACAGTGCCCACCTGTGGCTTAAACCGCGACTCTGCTGAGCGGACCTTAATTACAGTTTCTACGAGATTGCCAATCTAAACAAGGCTAGTACGCTCACACCCTCTGTCACGAGGACTTGTGAAATCGTACTATCAAAACCACCTACGGCAACCAATTTTACTCACAAGGCTTGGGTCAACCGGTGGTATGGTTTTCAGACAGTGTAGGGATCGCCTCCTCCAGATCGATAACATCGATCGATCACATTCCTGACAAATCGTGATTCAAACCCGGGTCTTATGGTCAAAAAGCGAACGTTCTAACCTCGCGTCTACATGACCAGATACCATATATAACTGAATTATTAATTGCCTTCTGGTCCCTCTCTCAGAATTTTACAGGCTGGTTTAAACTCAGTGTTTTCTTCTAGACCGGTTACCAGGCAAGGCTATAGAACCCTGTCTGTCCTTCTATTTACCCATATCTAGGGCAGAGAGAGATAAAATTCATATCTATCCAAAGTGTTTTAGCACGTAAGAAAATTCGACTCGGATTTGAACTCGGTCCTCTGATTCCTTAATCCAAACCGCAATACATTGCTGCATGCCTCCATATTGATCAACCCACCCCATATATATTTCTGTAGTCTTATACATTCAACGGTATTTGTGTTTGAAATTAACTTACTCTCTCGAAAGGTATGAAATAATCTCTCCCAACCCCAGATATGAGTGAATAGCAGGACAGGCTGAGTCCTATAACCTTGCGTGGAAACTAGTGGGAGAGAAGGAAAACTCTGAATTCAAACCAGCCTCTCAGATTCTGAGAGGATCCTGAAGGCAATTAATAACTCAGTAATATATATTTGGGCACGTGGCCGAGTTGTTAGAACATTCGATTTCTGACCATGAGACCCGGGTTCGAATCGTGCTTTTTCAGGAACGTGACGTCTTGATGTTATCGTTTTGGAGGACGTAATCTCACCGGGTAACCCCAATTTGCTCTTACTGCGCGTTATTGGTGAGACAAACATTTTTCAGGATACCATGAATGACCTTTAAGATGTCCGGATCTGACTACATGTGATTTTTACCTGTGGGATTGCACAAAAAGGGAGGTGTATAAGACGAAACCCCGCACACTGGAGGGCTTAGAGATACGGACTCAGGAGATTCTCAGTGATATCCCATATGACGTCCTTCGGAAGGTTGCTCGTTCCATCCCTGGCCATTGCCCTTTTTTTTTACATCTTTCTTAAAACTTTCTCGTTGGTAACAATCTCTGTCTGTGTTATGCTCTGCATTCTTCTGTAGAATCATACACACGCTTGGGAATAACAGGTGATGTAATCTTGGATGCACCGGGGTGTAATAGTTAATGGATCGCAATGAGGAATCAGAGAATCAAGCCTGGGTCGTTACATTCACTTACCTGCAAATACCCTTCAGGCGGTCATGATTTGAAAAGTGTCATGATCACCCAAGAATGTCACCTCCGTTCCTACTAACAGGCATTAGGTCAACGCAGTAGAATAACGGGACATTCTTCCCACTGAATCTGAGGAACGACGTGCCTATACTGAACAGAATACAGGCAGAACAATTCTATTATTTATTAATGTGTATATTCTGAGGTTACAACTGTTGTAACCTAGAAAGGGTTACTGAATGAGGAATAACTAAAATGAAGTTTGGAAATGAAATGGTAATATTTATAGCATCTACAAAATACAATACTCGCCAGCGGCGTGAAGTAGGTAAACCACTGCTAGTGGTGGACTAATTAGACACCATATTACTTCCACTTACGAAAATGCCCAACGTATTTATTAGGATTAGGACACACCCATTAATGTTCATATGTACGGTATATATATATATATATATATTCTGACGATTACATTTCGCATGAAACAGCCTTTTGGTGTTGTCTTCAATGTCCACTTGTATATTTACATACGCTCTATTCCTCATATTGAGCACTTTAACCCATAAATATAGCATACCTTAAAATTATATTTTATCATATATATATATATATATATATATATATATATATAATTTAAAATTCGCCTTATCGAGCGGCAATTAACTTAGCTCCGGCGGAAGACTCTTGATCGGTCCTTCGGCATATTCAGGAGTTCCTAAGTCATATTAGGAGTCTCTCTAAGTCATATTCTCGGGACTTTCTTTTCTTCGCTGAAGCCATGTCTCTTGATTTTTAATCTGGCTCTGTGTTGCCAACAATAACTCAAAATTGATCGCTGTATTGCATTAATGTTTAAGCTTACCTTTTAAACGTTAAACGATAATTCTTCTGCCGCCGATTACTTTAAAGACAATTGGATATACGTAGGTCCATATTTTCCGTACAAACAATTATTTTTATTTCATGGGTGACTTTCGCTGGACTTCGCAGTTAATTTTCATTATTCCCATATGAAAACTTGAAAATCCAAAATTCCAGGAATACGGGTCCGCATGCGTTCCCGGAATGTTTTTAATTTTCTCACAGAGACGGCCTGATTAAAAAAAATGCATTATATGTTGGTTTCCTTTGGTTTGTTTTACGGTATACCAACCTGAATTGGTTATTTAATGCCGACAAGATTTTTATTGTTGGTAATAGTTACTTTCAAAAATGTATTGATGGTAATAATTTTTTTTCTTCAAAAATTCATTGCTGGTAATATTTTTACAGTAATGTATTGCTGATATTAAAACCTTCTTTTACACTTTCATAGTGATTTGACCCCATTTTGGGGTTAAATATTTGCCCATATCTGGGCCCCGCTAATAGGTGCTGCCACCCCGGCTCATGGGAACACCAGCAATTAAGAGGTGGTTCCACGCTACTCAAAGCCTCCAGATCAGATGCCTTGCTGTTGGATGTAGTTTATCGTCTTACCCAGGACGCTGATATGTCGGGCTTCAGCCTCTAGGAGTAAAGTTGAAAAAGTGTGACACTGTGAAACACTGACATTCGCATTATATAGATGTGTGCATGAGTCTGTGTGAATGTGTGTAGGGGGTAAGAGTGAGAGAGAGAGAGAGAGAGAGAGAGAGAGAAAGCGCATGTGTGCGTGGGTGTTTATTTTTAAATTCGCATTTATATATATATATATATATATATATATATATATATATATATATATATATAAGGATTCTATCACATTTTATACATAATCCCACGTTAGTTCTTATTACTGTATACGACATATTTAGTGAATGCACGTGTTTGAGTAAAATCTGTTTTCTTAAACAGTATAATTTTCATTTAGCTGGGCCCAGATTTTATTCGAAATAATTAATTTCCTCTTCGCTGGGGTTCGAACCTACAACTTAGTCATATAAGGGAATCCTCCGTATAACTGTCTGAGCTTTTACACAGCTTAGGTACCAAAGGCATTCATGGCGAATAGATAGATAGATAGATAGATAGATAGATAGATGAGGAAGATATTCTGATAGATAGATAGATAGATAATGAACAGACTGTGATAGATAGATAGATAAAACGTGATAGATAGATAGATAGATAGATAGATAATGAATAAAATGTGATAGATAGATAGATAGATAGATAATGAACATACTGTGATAGATAGATAGATAGATAGATAGATAGATAGATAGATAGATAGATAGATAGATTCAAAAGAGTAAGTGACCTTTGCTTCTCCGTGAAAGCTTTTCGTGAATAGGCGTTCTGAAAGCCCGCCGGTATACACGAAGGTTTTCTCCTATGTATGCATAATTAAATGGCAGAAATGTATTCAGGGTTTTCGCAATGATGCGAAGGAAAGCAGAACATTTATTTATTCGTTGTTGGAATGTAAAAGAAAACAAAATCGTTTACTAATTTCATAGACAAAAACTGAGTGTTATAAAAGAAGTTAGAACCTGTTCCTAAAATATTGTGCAAGAGGGATAGATAGATAGATATATAGATAGATAGATAGATAATGAACAGGCTGATATATAGATATCAACATAGATAGATAGATAAATAAATAGATAGATATGAATTCACCGAAATTATATACATAAACAGATATAAATACATCGAATATGATAGATAGATAGATAGATAGATAGATAGATAGATAGATATATATGAATACACCGAAATTATATACATAAAATACATCGAATCTGATAGATAGATAGATAGATAGATAGATAGATAGATATGAATACACCGAAATTATATACATAAATAGATATGAATACATCGAATCTCGAAGATAGATAGATAGATAGATAGATAGATAGATAGATAGATAGATAGATAGATATGGATATACCATTCCCATGCAACCTATATTAATTTGGTCCACCTTCACATCTTGGACCCACCATGCCACGTACACTGAATCGACTCATCCTCATCCTCATACTCCACATATTCCATTAGTAAGGAGGAAGTTTCCATAAGTCAATTTCTTCCCGTGAACTAATTTATTGTTAAACAGTCTCATGAGCTGATGGCTTCCTCATTACTTCTATCTTGGCTTCTTCAAGTCGAAGGTCAATTGTTATCTATTCTACATATCATCATAATATTTAACTCTCTTTAGGTCCTTACAAACAATCTTATATTTGTAACACTCTGTCTTCAGTGTTTCTTGAGCCTTGTACTGGGCGAACAGTAGCAATAAATATTAAAGCTTCATTTAAATAGAAACATTTCTTTTTTTTAAATATAAACTTTTATTATACCTTATTCTATTCGAGGTTATATTTTCTCTGTTATCGTAACAACCTTACAACTTTTGTTACCACCGGCCATCTTCAGGTTTCTGCCGTATTCGACAACTTAAAATTTTCAAAAAGAACCCTTTATTCATTTAACAAAGATATACTGTTCTTAACCCAGTTTCCATGTTGGTTGTCATTATTCACAAAGATGAAATGATGAGATAATATAAAGGCAGTAAAACATTCTAGAATATTCCATCCTAAATCTCTGAGTCTCTTTTCTGTTATCAATAAATGTTGGTGCTAATGGTAGTATTAGCCAATTCTTTATAAGGAATTCATTGACCGAACATCAGATGCATCAAATATTTCTCTTGAAAATATTTGTCTCAAGTCGAGTAGTTACGTGTTAAGGTTTCAAGGTCGTTAATGGTGCATGGATCTGCAAGATTAGGACAAACTAGATGTTTCATAGTTTTTAATTGCCTGAATTGAAAGTTTACATCAACATCGGTGGCATATCCGGATTTCTGAAGTTTGGCTAGACAGAAACCAATAGCTTTTCGGGAGCAATTTAAGCCGGACAATCACGAGAGTCAGAAAGAGGTATTCCATAGCACTGAGAGAAAGCCTGTGTTCCATGTTGTTAAGGTGGTTGCACTGTAGTACTATTTAGGTTGCTGGTAATTAATAATCAAAATGGAGACTTGAATACGGGATAATAATGAATAACTTAGCATGAAAAGGGTTAACGGATACCGGAAAAATGATAATAATAAATGATAAACATAATAAGATTGTTCCCAGAGAATCGAAATATGTGTAATGAACCAAATGACCACTTGAAAGCGATTCTCAGTTTGTGCGAACAAATCAAGTGTTGACAGCTGGTGACAACCAATGCCTGAATCTGACAAGAGGAGGATTGAGCTAAAACTAAAGGAATTCATTTCGCGATATATCAGAATGAAAAACAATGAATTGAACACCTGCGGCTGAGCACTAAAAATTTCCCTTGGTAAGTGTCTCTTGGATCAGAGGTGAGAGAGTCAAATGTGATGTCTATTCACTTATGTGAAAAGTAAATTTTAAACAATATTATTTTTTATCAACCTCCAACCGAATTTTGGAGGTGACAGGAACAGAAGAGCGATCAAGGAAGGAAGAGGGGTTGTCTGCACCCATTGAAGGGTATCAGGCACAGAGGAGACATTAAAGAGGCTGAAGGAGCTTCTTTTACCCACTTGGGAGCATGGTGAGAGATGGTAATAAGAGAATGTGGAGGCAGCCGGGCGAAGCGATGTCTGCAACCACCCGCACAACACGAGAGAGAGAGAGAGAGAGAGAGAATTCCCCAAAATTATGAACTAATTTGATTTTTTTTTTTTTGTTGAAAATCAGGGGATTCACCGAAACCCAGCCTGCATCTTAACCCGCACCGGTTTCTAGCCATTCAGACAGTTGTGTTAGAGTTGAGTTCAGAAAGACAGTCAGAGAGCTGAGAAGCGACGGAGGTCTCGGACAGATTGCACATTTCTTGTCGATCGATCGAGGTGTTACATTTGGTTTGCTGTAAGCCAAGATAGAGCGTCAGGTATTACAGACCCAAAGGAACAGACGCTGACTTTGAGCTATGTTGTTCAGGTGTTCAGCTGAGTGTAAAACGTTGTTTCTTGATTTGAGCCACTTTCTCAGAGGTTCATAGCCGTGGAGTGGATGGCGAGGGTTAACTCTCTGCTTCAACTTCACGATTTGGGAGTGGACTGTGCTTATTGCGCAATGGGGAACGGTGAGCAAATAAAGGTCATCTACTTTGGACGGCTAGAGACACCCAGTGATCGATCTGCATGAGGTGGGTCAGTTTTCTTTGCGTGTGTTGATCTGCCCCACACTGGTCAGGTAACACATTTCCGCTTCATCTCTGGTGTAGTGTAGCGTGTCGTGTAGACTACATAAGATGAAGCCGATAGTGAAATGATAGGGAGAAAATCGAATAAAATCATTATCTGATACGAGAAAAGCCTTATTCTGAGACGTCGGGATCAATTTAACTGTTTTGTAAATGTTTTAAAAGACGACGGAAAATTTGAAAAACAAATTCGGAGTTGCATCGGAATAAAGAAATATAAATTCCTTAAGCTAATCAATTCTACATGAAAAGTTTGTTAGAAACAAAGAAAATAGTAGTGAAATAATATGTAACATCAATCCTTTCACGTGTCAATGGATGCTGACCAATCTCCTCACAACTCAAGATACAAGAGGCCGAGTGATTCTAGTAAAATATTCTGAGAATACCCTGGATGGAGAGCATCAGCGTCGAAGGAAACAAAAAAAAATACTCTTAATCAAAGAGAGGCGGTTGAAATGTTTCAGATATATAATAAGGAAAGATGATTTGGAAATATTGACACTCACAGGACTGCAAAGTAATATCAAACATCATTTGTAAGAAAACCGAAAGTTTGGTTGTAAGCAAAAGTAACAAGGAACTATAAAACGAAACATCAGAATGAAGCAAGTCTCATGATAGTGAATGCCGGGAAAGCCTCAAAATTTAAATATTTTGGAAGTGTTTTAACAGAGGACGACACCAAAATCCATTGGTACAGCGAAGGATACCTTCCAAGCTAAGCTAAGTATTAAGAAAGAAAGAAAATTATATTAGTAACAGTGAAAAGAATACTGGACTGTGATGTAATATCAGTCCTCTTCTATGGCAGTGAATGCCGGGCAATCTAATGACGGAGAAAGAAGAAAACTGAGGCAAGAGATATATGGTTCTACAAAAAAGTGTACATCACTACGACTTTCTCTATGAGGAGGAGGATAACACACCATTCTGACGCCGTTGAGCAGCTCTCCTGATCACGTGACTGTAGCATTTTTATGTTAGCTTCATCAGCCTACTTACAAAAGGCAACTCTGAAGTAGGTGTTCTATCCTAATAGCAGATTTTGAAAATCCATAACTTGATTTTGTTTAGTGGCATATCAACACTTTTAAGGGTTATTTAATGCCGAAATCTAAATATTTTGAACACAATGTTATAATTTCAATTAAATATATTTTGTAAGCAAATGTATGACTTCGACTAAAATGTACTGTTGGTTATTTTCCTATAAAATGTATTGTCGGTAATTTTACTATGAATGTATATTGGTATTTATTTATATGAAAATCTATTGCAGTTATTTTTCTATTTAAAATATAAAATTCATTTTTATACTTTCCTAATGTTTTATTTTTTATTTGTCGGTTCACTATTTTTCTATATCTGGGACCTGAACAGCTGCTACCGTCCCTGGGTCAGGGTGAAACTGGAAACAATAGGAATTAAGAGGTGGCTCCACACTCCTGAAAAAAATCCAATCTCCCAATCAGAGGCCTTGTTTCCTGGTGTAGAGTATCGTCATACCCAGGACTATGAAAGATTGGACGAAGTCCATCTTTTCAATAAGGAGCATTAAAAACATCGAATTTCTCTTTTTAAACTGAGCTCATTTTTCGTTATTCGAATTTCTGTTTTAACCTTGCTAGGTGCCAACGTAAAATTTATACCCTTACAATGTTATATATATATATATATATATATATATATATATATATATATATGAAAAACAATCGGTCTCGGTTAGGGAAAATCCGTCATATATATATATATATACTAGCAGTAGAGCCCGGCGTTGCCCGGGGATGCAACAGTAACAGATAGATCAAGTATCAACCATCATAAAGACTGAAAAATAAAATTTATAAAGGTTATTGTTTAAGGTTGACGGACACGCATGTCTTAATTATTTTTTTTTGTTTTGTTTTATTTGTTTTGTTTTGTTTTTTTTACGAATTGGTCAAACTCAAACTCAAACAAAAACATTGTTATGAGTCTACCGATTGAATAGAATTTTATTATAAACAATTGTCTTGTAAATGGAATTTTAAAGCATTCTGAATGTAAAAATAAAAAAAAAAAAGTGTGCAAGACAATAAGAAATACTACCTGCCAAAAAAAAAAGTTTTGTTGAAATCGGTTGAAAAATGTAGGAAATCCGATCCCATATATAAACGAACACAAACAACTTGGGTTTTATAATAAGTATAACTCGACATGAGTTGTCCCCCTTTCATTCTGGCGACAGAATCGAATCGTATTTTATCGTGTTTTCAAATTGATTTCGTGCAAAACAATTGTGTTTTTCCAATTTTGTCGCTGTCAGAACCACCACAAGGTAATTTTACGCAGTCCTGTGAAGTTTTGTTGAAATTGGTTGAAAAATGTAGGAAATCCGATCCAATATATAAACGTACACACACACACACACACACACGCACAATCTGCGTTTTATAATAAGTAAGACATATATATATATATATATATATATATATATATATATATATATATATTTTTGGTTGGATAGATGTGAGTTTGTGACCCTTTTATTTATATTTATTTAACGATCGTACCTTATATAATATATAAATAATTATACATATATATATTTATTTATATTTATATACACTTATTCACACACACACACACACACACACATGTACATATATATATATATATATATATATATATATATATATATATATATACGGATTTTCCCTCTTC